GTACGGGCACATCTCATGCCAACCTTCCTGTTTCTTGATTCAAACTCTTGCCTTCCAGTCTCAACATCTGTAACCTCTTTTTGTTTCTCGAGGTGGGTTGGAGTTTGAAGGTGGTCAAACAAGTGAGTTTTCAAATTCCGAAACTGTCTTGACATTTTTTCATCGCTCTCAAATGTTTTTTGCGAACCGTTACTATACATAAATACGCCGGTTCTTCCGAGAAAATTTACTTCTCTTGGTTCATTGGGTGGATTACATATGGAACATATAACAACTCCTTCGATGTCGTCATACTCAAACTCTGGAAGCTGAATTAAATCAAAAAGCGATCTAAAAGTAAAAATAAAGTTAAAACTTGAGAAAACATTGGAAAGTATATAGCTACTGTAAAATAATTCACATAACTGATATAAGTCCGTACGTATACAATTAATGCATGGGCACAGGAAACAACTTCAAGTTAGAGAGTTCCCCATTGACATTGTTTAAACTTTAGCGCGGAACTTTGAATTAGAAACGTTGGGGAGTGGATGTACCTCCTATAGTCCTATTCCCCGGTTCCTATAGCTATGTCACTGCTTATTTGATTTAGGGAAAAGCTCACCTTGCTGACTTTCTTTCTGTAACTGTAGGAAGCTCAGACTCCACAGCCACCGTTTCCGGTGAGGGTGTGATGGACAAGCAGAACATGCGATTTTCTAAGTTCTTTACAGTTGTCAGTATTTCGTCAAGCTTAGATGCAATTGAGAATTTGCTTTCTGCGAAATTGTCCTCTCCGGAGGCGCTGAGCGTTACTTTCGCGGTACTTTCGTCGGCTGTATTTTCAAAACCAGGCGGTGTTGAACCAGATGATATTGACATTGACAAGTCGGCCGTTTTAGCAGTTTTGAACAGAGGCTCTTCGTCTACATCACCGTGGCCACGTTTCCGTTTGACATTGTTATCTTTGACTTTATTCCCAAATAGTTCTATAAGCGACTTCTGTCCAAGTACTCTTACTTCTGTAGAGTTATGGGCATTTTTCATGTGGTCTTTTAAGTTTTGAAGTAGCATCTCTTTTCGACATATGTGACATCTTTCACGTTTGCTTTTACTCCGAAACAGTTTTTTAGACGGGTTCGTAACATTTTCTAAAGTGGTAATCGCTAAAGTGGCCGTGGTAATCGCTACAGAAAAATAGAACAAATTACAGAAATACAAAACAAAGTTACAGAAGTGGAAGTGGGAAGGTTTTTGTATTTTGACTGTAAAACGTAAAAACTCTTCATTCACGTGCTCCAGACAAACGTTAAAGTTTCGCATGAACATTAAACATCTTTTGAAACATTGTTGAGGCGAGAGATACAATAACTAAATCCGTAGGCGTAGCTGAAAAATTAAAGCTATCAGCCAAAAATCTGTTAAAGCTATCTGCCAGCGAATTTCTAAAGGCAAATCAAGCTCCTAGTGAGACGCGTGTGATGGGTCTTTCTTCAAAATTTCAAATTACAAATCTTACAACACGTAGCCCAAGTAAAAATTTCCTGCGACTGGTGAAAACTTTCCTGCGAGCGCCGCTCGCGTGCTCGCCTATTTTTTCCACCCCTGATAACATTAATCAATGTTTCCTGGTCTGCTTCTTGCTGTTTCCTTGCCAATATATAACTGTTTCTTTTGGTTAGGTTGACCATCACGAAAATGCTGCGCTGAAGCCTATTACTGACCAAATCACTGCAATACATAAATATGTAAGAAAGATATTGATTGTACTGTGTAGCAACTACAATAAAGAGATCCAGATTTGACTTCCACTACCTCTGGCTAGCTTAGAACGCATTTGATTGGTTAATAGAATATATCAACCGCATCCGATTGGTTAATCGTCCCTTGATGGTAACGGTAGTGGAAGCCTAATCTGAACCTTACAGTACTGCAGAAGTACTCGGTTGCAAATACCCATATCGAAGGAACTAGACTCAGTTCCGAAATATTACATACTCGAACCGACCTGACCGCGTAGCTCAGTTGGCAGAGCATTGGGCTAGTGTTCCAAAGGTCGTAGGTTCGAATCCCATCGTGGCCAGGTATATTTTTCAAGCCTGTCCGGTGTGGATATACACTCAGAGTAACATCACAAGCATCTTATTCACCTGAGTACATTACACAAACACAGCAAATATTATAAACCTTCCGTTACTCATATTTGCCGTTGTTATGTAGGGTTCAAGTGTGACATTGGGTAAGCCGTTTAATCCTCATTGCTTGTTTCCCGGTAAGTCAGATGTGTTTTTTTTTTTGCAAATGTGGTGGTGTAGGGGTTTTGGTCTCACAATGAATAGTGGGTGGGTCTTTCTCGTACAGTTGGCAATTGTCTTATTAAGCCAGATTTACACTACACAACTTTTGTACTTTGCACAGTACAACTCAAGTTGTAAACAGGTTGCATGCGACAGTTTTAGGCAAAATTTGTGTAGTGTTAATCGACCTTTATAATTTCGCCTCAGTCGCATGGAAGTGCTTTAATTGAGGAAACTGCATTGAGCTACCCTAACCGTAAGTATTGTTTTATTTCTAGAATCTTTGCACTATTGGTCGTACCCAGGCTCTCTGACAACTCCTCCGCTTTCAGAAAGCGTCACCTGGGTTGTGTTTGAGAATCCAATGAGTGTATCCAGTGAACAGGTACTTATTTTAAAAACATACACTCAAATTCAATCTTCATCGTAAATAGCATTTACGATTCACACTAGTTGTGCTTTGGTTTAAGTCTGATTTACACTATCAAAGTTTCTGTGATCACAGTAGGAATTTCGCAAAGGTAAATTCTAAGTTTTGAAGTACACGAGCAGCAGTGTTTTATGAGTATTTTTAGGTAAAACACGCACTGCGAATGTTTTAAATTGCTTCAAAAACGATCGATCTAGTAAGTTCATTGGCGAAGTAATTTTCAAAAAATACGCTTAGTAAGTCGAGAAAATCAAAGTTAAAGTTTATGTAAATTAACGGAAATCTCTATCACATATAAAGATACGACACGCTTATGATTTTTCTTTGTGTTTTCCTCATGAATTATTAATGAGTTTTTTAAGGATTTATAAGAAATAGTTAGGTGAACTGACTTACTTTGATCACAGAAACTTTGATAATCTAAGCCAGCTTTTAGGCTGCGCCCACACTAAACCGTTTTCGAGAGAAGAGTGGTCTAATTACCTGGAACAATATGAAACAACTATGTATGTGTTTTGTTTAGGTTGCAGCCTTCCGGGAAATCCAAGCAAGCGATGGAAGCTGTGTCTGTCAAAATTTCCGACCGACACAAGACTTGAACGGGCGTGTAGTGAAGGCATCGTTCAAGCATGGCCACGAATGTGGACACGGACATAGCCATTGACTTGACCATCAGAATGGCCATCAACATAGGCCGTTAATTTGGACATGGGCATTAAGAAATAGAAATTGAACAGTTTGGGCAATGATTTAGTTTCAAACATTACAAATTTACTAATAAAATATATAACGAGAAACTTGCACTTTGCTTTTGTTGAGAAAATACATAATTATATCTGATATCCTTTGTGCTTTTCTCATGCATTATTAATGCGAATAGACCTTTCTCCTTTTAAGTGAAATTTTGATCTAGACAAGTCTGGACAAAAATTTCATCACAGCTTGAAAGAGCATCACAAAATTAGTAATATTCCGAAGTTTCGTTACGTAATGTTGTAAAATGCGGATAATATAGCCTTGCGAAGTTTGCCGTTTTTCAGTCCTTTTGATTACAAATGGGAAATTGATAATCAGTTTGATCATCTGATTATCAATTTCCGTTTGTAATACCAAATGACTGAAAAACGGCAAACTTCGCAAGGCTATATTATCCGCATTTTACAACATTTCGCAACGAAACTTCGGAATACTACTAATTTTGTGATGCTCTTTCAAGCTGTGATGAAATTTTTGTCCAGACTTGTCTAGATCAAAATTTCACTTAAAAGGGGAAAGGTCTATTCAATATGTAGATCAATCAATCCACAGTCAATCATAGTCACTATCGTAATCATCTTCTGATTTGTCAGAAGGCAAATGGTGTCTCCAAAGAAAGCACATTTGCAGACAATTACAGAAATTTGCACAAGGAGTTATCAAACTCATGTCACAGAAGTGATAGAGGACATGTGTGACAACTGAATGGTATCCTTTATTTGCAACGTTTTTGGCCAGGGATGGGTATTTATTTTTTAATTGATATTTGAAGCTGGATTTGACCTTTTAAGGTTGGATCAGTAATTTTTTTACCAAGAACCTGTCCCTTATTAATAACTCGTAAAACTTTATAACAGTCAACCTATGTAAAGCACAGTGGGGATTGGTTTGGTGGCTCTTAAGTGGAGTTTGGTTTGGAAGCGGGGGGTTTGTAGTTAGTAGTGAACTGTACTGTCCAACAGTACAGTTCACTGTGTAATTGAATAGATCATTTGAATGCAACATTTTACCATACAGTTTTGTATATCTCACCAAGTCGTCTGCTAAGATGAAAATAATGTTTGGTCTTTTGCTTTGAGGTTCACATTTTTCTGTTGCATTTGATAACAAACTTGACAACAGCAATGATAGCACTAACCTAAAACGTTAAAACTGTCTTATCATTGTAAGTGTTTGAAAACATCAAGATTTTGTTGGCATCTTTAATACTCGATTGAATATATTGTTGCAGGGCATTGTGGATGGAAATTATCGAGTGGAAATTTATATAAGCCTACATTTATTAGACCTAACCGGAACAGAAGTGAAAAATGCAACTTTTGGTCCCTGGGCCCAAAAGTTGCCGCATTTTTTGCTTCTGTTCCTACATGGCTATATAGGTCTAATAAATGTATATAAATTTCCACTCGATAATTTCCATCTGCTATTGTAGATCTACCCTTCAAGGGGGGGTGAATAGGTTTTCGGATCGTCGGATTGCACAGAAAAATTGTTCGGATTTCGGATCTGGTGAATATTTTACACGGATTTGCGGATCCTATTAATACAGCGGATTGCGGATTTATCTAATATTTTGGCTCGGATTGTGGATTTAGCTTGCAATTTAGTTCGGATCCTGGATTGTGACTTCATAGTTGAGTTTAGCGGATTTAAATTTAGACAAGACCATTGTCGGATCGCGGATTTTGCTTCAAATTTGGGCGGATCGGCAGATTTGTAGTCCCACGAATCTGACTCGTTCGTTCAAATATTGAATTTCAAAATGATCTTACTCTTTAGGAATCTTCCTGTTCCTGCACGAACAGTTTCATTCGGTAATACTGCATGATGGTAGAGTCATAGACATAGGCCCTCATAGCCATAAAATGGTATCAGTATAACTCTTTACAGATTTGGTAGTAAGTCCGTCAGATTTTCACACAAACTGGTGGTCAGACTGAGTCAGACAGGTTCGTTCTCGCGGTCATAAAAAGCGACTCGCAGCAAAATATGTATGTGTATACTGCTGAATGACAAACTCCTTTAGTTTCAAAGCTAGTTCTATGAAATTCACTAACCCAGTAATTATTTATATTCCATTCATGCACATATATACACATATTCACTCTTCATCATAACAGGATTAACTTATGTTGTCATAGTAGGTAATAATAATTAGTATGTCTGCAAGAACATTAATAAATATTCACTCACCGAAATACATCACATCTCGCCATTTTATTTTCAATTTAAAAAAGTTGAAGCCCTGTTGCCAATTAGTTCTATTTTAAGTTATAGCGCGTTGACATTTTGAAGTTATTTAATAAATCAGTTGTAAATATAATTTGGAAAGAAAGATGGCAGTTGCTTGCTTGTACTACCTGTAAAATTACAAATAAACTGACACATTTGTTTTGAAATGTTTGTTTTGCTTCATTTCATCATGGATAATAAAATAAATTCGCATACAATTTGCATAGTTTAAAGAAAGTCTAAAAATGAAATGACGAAATTAGGTTTCAGTAAGTGTCACCATACAATTCATGTTTCCTAGCAAATTTTCCCGAAGGTGGACAAACCAGGAAACATTGTTTCCTAATCAGAGCCAACCTCGTACCCAGTCAGGACCAGAGCACAGAACAGAGACTATACAGAAGCCAGACCTCTTGGTTTTTCCTACGATTTTGGCGTAACCATAATTCGTCATCAAAATGCTGACGCCGTGGTCCTAGCCAGTGCGCGTACGAGAGGCATTCACCCCTGATAATATTCAAATGGTGGACGCCCAGGGGGGGGGGATGCCTGTCATAAGCGCACTGGCTAGGACCATAGCGTCAGCATTTTGATGACGAGTCGTGGCGTGGCAGCGTTACGCTTTTTTTTTGCTGAGTCGACCTTCTGTGTGTCTTATTCTGTGCCCAGAGTCACCCTGCTCGTACCTTACTTCTGCGCTTGTACGAGGTTGAATCAGAGCCAACCACTGAACTATAAATAACTCCACGTGTTTGGGAAGGAAGCGGAAGTAGAGAGCCTGGCTTGCGAGATTGAATGAGAGCTGCCACGGCAATACATCATTTAGAGTGATTCAATAAAACTCGCCTATATGGCTATATTATTTTCACGGATGAAAATTCAGTGAAATAACAAAACATAAGAAAATAAATGTATATATACACATATAAAGTTTATATTGCATTTTTTCAAGATTTTTGTGACTTGCGGAAAATTTTTGTCTTTTTGACTTCCCGTAATGTATTCTGGGAAAATCTGGGAAACTATGGTAGTTCCCATTCCATGCGCTTGTCTTGCCTCTCATGTCGGCTTCGAAATTCTCCCTCAGAAAGCGAAAATAAAGCATTAATGTTTTCAACTTCTACTCTCTTTCTGCTATGAAAATATAATAGACAACCGTAAACTTTCCTTTAGTGTCTACACAAATGTACATCGCATAAAAGACTATAAACTCGGCGGAAATTGGGTAAATATACATGTTGTACTCGGCAAATTTGATGTTAATTGTATATCATCGAAATTGCTGTGTTGATATATGAAATCTTGTCGCACTACTGGTCGGAATGTCAAGGCACGAAGGTATTGTATAGTTTATTGCATTCTAATGCTTTGTTTAGCGTAGTTTTTGAACTTAGTTTTAGTTATCCAGATATTTGCTGAAGGTGAACCTATCCAACATCAATTTTCAATATAGTAATTGTGGCTTTATATGTGCTGTGATCTGGCCAAATTGTAGTGAATAGTGTACACATTTTATGTGTTATAGTACACCGTGTTTTATTGTGTCTTAGTTTGTGAATTGTGGATAATATTGCTTCAATAATTTGAAAACAGGCAAAGTAATGTATTAAATATGCATAGAGGAACTTAAATGCTGGATAGCCTGAATGTTTTAATAGTTCACATGCTAATATTAGAATCACCTGGAACCTGAAGTTGAACAAAGAGCTTAAAGTAACAGGAAGTGTTATAAACAAAAATACAATGCTGTTCCCAAACATGTCCGTGAAAATGTGATTCATGCAGGCCTTAAAATATCGGTCAGTCACAGACATTGTCTGACCCATTCGTGAAATTGTCCGACGTAGAGAGGAAACCACTGGACATTCTGTCTGACCAAAGTGAAACTGATGTTTATCTGACCTGAGTGAATTGGCGTCCACCCTAACTGTAACTTTGTCCAACATAAATCGAAGTATACCCTAGTCCAGGACTAGAGGCTCATGTGCTAAATGGAAATCAGAGTAACATATAAAAAGTGAACTGGAGATGTGTAATCAAGTGCTGGGTTTTCACCGTGGGGGTTGGAAATTCATTGCCAATGTTCAAATGACTTTTCCAAATTGTGCTGATATGAATTTTTATTTGCATACATACTTATTTCTAAGCCAAACTGAACTCAAAGTCATCAGACATCATACAGTATATATGTCCGAGCCAAAATCCAAGTTCGTTGAACATTTTGTCAGATGATTTTTTCTCATGTGTTGGTGTTGTGTACTGAGGGCTAGTACATTGGGCTAGTATTCCAAAAGTCGTAGGTTCGATTCCCACCGTGGCCGGGCATATTTTTCAAGCTCGTCCGGTGTAGATATACACTCAAAGTAACATCACAAACATCATTTTGTCAGATGGTTCTCTGACCAATATTTTAAGGCCTGATTTATGGCATGCCTTCATTGCTTCTACACCGGGTAAACTAATGGACTACCTGACTTGTTGTGAACTCATGTAAGGTCAGTTCTCATTGATTCTCCCACCTTCTTTGAAGGTTTTCTCCAGACTTTTTCCTTCCTCACAAAGAACTAACCTTTCCGTCTTAATTAACTCTGTGAATAACCCATTGAGCGACAGCACTCTCCCCCTGAGAAGTAAAATCGTCTGCCGTTAGACAGAGTAAAGTAATCAAGTAGGCCGCATTGCCACTTAAAGGGTTAACCATTAAAGTGCAACACTCTCCCTTTGACAAATAAATGTGCCTGGCATTAAGCCGTTAACAGAGTAAAATAATAAAGTAAGGTGCATTTGGGTGCATTGCAACTTAATGGGTGAACTAAACATATTGGCAGTTAATGTTTAGTTAACCCATTAAAGTGCAACACTCTCCCCTTGACAAGTAAAATAATCTGGCATTACACAGCATAAAATAATAAAGTAGGGTGCATTGGGGGTACATTGCAGCTTAATGGGTTAGCAAGACACATTGATAGGTTGTTTGGTTAACCCATTAAAGCACAAGACTCTCCCCTTGACAAGTAAAATCATCTGGTGTTAACCCATTAAGCGCCAGCGCTCTCCCCTTGACGAGTAAAATCGTCTGGCATTAGACAGAGTAAAATACTAAAGTAGGGTGCATCAGGGTGCAATGCGACTCAATGGGTTAAGAGTAAAATAATAAATAGGACCGTATTGCAGCTTAATGGGCATGCTTGGTATGGTGGCAGCCAGTTGCACCACAGTAAGCCATTGATGTGATCACACAGTGGCGGAAATCTTGGTGGGGCGGGTGGGCGACCACCCCCCCCCCCCCACACCTTCATGGAAAATGCAGAATTTTCAGAAATTTTGACCTAAAAGAAGGCTAAAAACAGCCTTTTCGAGTGCAAATGGGGGGGGGGGGTTGTCGGAAATTTGAAAGTTTTGTTGAAAATTTAGGAGGCTTTGCCCCCCACCGGAAAAAGAGAATTTCCACCACTGTGATCACATTTGAACTGTGCCCTCTCCCAGTTTTCAACTACAAGGAAAGATGATTAGCACCCCCAACATTCACCTTTTGATGGTATATATAACCAGAAAAATTAAGAGGAATTTGCACTTCCAGTTATTATTGCTTATTCTACTATTTTTGCATCATGGTAGAAGGTTCTGTTAAAAGTATGAAACTATGTAAAAATGCAAGTACAGTCTATTTGCACTTATCAGAATTGTTGTCATTTTTTACTATTTTTGCATCCAAATTATGAACTTTATAAATGAAGTGGTGAAAACTAAGCAGTCATATTTTTCAGCTTACAGAGTAAAATAAATTATCAATGAAGGTAGCTCAATCAGACTTTGCTAAAGAATATTGTAGAATCTCTAATTAACCCATTGAGGGCTAGTGAGTAAAATCACCTGGCATTAGACGGAGTAAAATAATAAAGTAGGGTGCACTAGGGCACAATGCAACTTAATGGGTTAGGGCACAATGCAATTTAATGGGTTAATACTGTTTGTATCATGCATGTGCAAAACAGACTGTACCGTAACTTTAATAAAATATATTTGTATTATCAGGTGTGAGCTGTGACTCGTGTAGCAAGAATAATTTCCGTGGCAAGAGATTCAAGTGTTTAATATGTTATGATTACGATCTTTGTGCCCAATGTTACGACAGTGGAGCGTCCACAACTAGGCACACCAAGGATCATCCAATGCAGTGTATTTTAACAAGAACTGATTTTGGTATGTAAAATAGATTGTTCCAGAAAAATATTTCATCTCCGTATGTGAAAATTTTGTGATGCCTCAGAGCCTGAAATAACATTCAAAATTTGTCTGGAAAAATGTCAGGCCAAAATGAAATTTGATCAGAATCTTTCAAGCTAATACATCAATAATACTTTATGCCAAATATATAACTAGCCAGTGTAGTTAAACTTTTATATTTAATGTTCTTTGCGGGATGATTGCATGCTTATGGTTAACCCAGCCTTTCAAGAAGGATGATTCGTATTTTTTGTCCGGACAAAATGTCTGACCAATTTAGCATTTGGTCAGAAAAACTGTGATTTGGTCGGAAAATGTCCAACCGTTATTTTAGACTCTGCGCCTGCAGGGGAAGGGGGAAATATACTTAGAACTGATAATGTTCTAAGACATCTGGTGACCCATTAAGAAAGGTTTGAACTATATTCACTTTTTCAAAGGTATTATTTGTTAATTAATCAGGGTTTTCAGTTTAGGCCGGCGAACAGCAAATTTTGCCAGACTTTTTCATTCAACCCCACCCAAATTTGCCAGAGCTTTTACATAAATATATAATCCATGTGCATGAATGATTGTGAAACTTAACTGAGGGGCAGTCTACATGGTCTAGGCTTTTCCCTTTCGCCATAGCTTCATCGCCATTAGCCAGAGCCTCACACAAAACTGAAAACCCTGATTAATAATTCCATTTGTGAAATTTAGAACTTTACTTTGGCGGTGAAGCATTAACTGTGGATCAACCTCAATCATTTTGTTGTCCATTTTGTGGCAAGCTTGGCTTAACTGAGAGTGGATTACCAGAGCATGTTACAACTGAACATCCTGATGCTACCTCTGAAGTTGTAAGTCTGCATTATTATGTTTCTGCTTATAGTCAGAAATAATTGTGGTCAGCTATATGTTGGCCAGATAGCCCTATAGAGCAGCATGTATAGACCCCACAATCAATATTTAAAAGCTCACATAATATGTACATGTTATAGTGACTGACCAATAATAGACCTTTCCCCTTTTGAGTGAAATTTTGATCTAAACAAGTCTGGACAAAAATGTCATCACAAAAGAGCTTCACAAAATTAGTAATGTTCCAAAGTTTCGTTGCGAAATGTTGTAAAATGCAGATAATATAGCCTTGCGAAGTTTGCCATTTTTCAGTCATTTTGTATTACAAATGGGAAATTGATAATCAGTTTGATCATCTGATTATCAATTTCCCGTTTGTAATGCAAAATGACTGAAAAACGGCAAACTTCGCAAGGCTATATTATCAGCATTTTACAACATTTCGCAACGAAACTTCGGAATATTACTAATTTTGTGATGCTCTTTCAAGCTGTGATGAAATTTTTGTCCAGGCATATCTAGATCAAAATTTCACTCAAAAGGGGAAAGGTCTATTGGTATTGGGCCAATTTTTTGCCTTATCAGTAGACAATCGGAATCGGTAGAATTATCTGTATTTCCGATTGTGTAAAACCGATTGTTGAGAAAGTACGCATTTTAATTATATAAATTGCGTGTTGATACACATTGCGTTTAAAGCAACTGATGCACATTGCGTTTTAAAGCAACATGTTGCTGCGACATATGAAGTTGGAAAGTATCGTTAAAAAATCGAAATGATCGTCACCTTTACTTGGTTGACAGACATTGTGACGTCATTATGTCGATAATCGCTTTATGAGACGACAATAAAGACCTACGATTGGTTCTATTCCTTTTTAATATCTAAAACATGCTATTTTTATACTAAATAAATGCTCTCGAAAAACAACAACGTTCCGCCATCTTGGATTCTCACACGTGTTTTTATAACCCTATTTATCCCTACATATCCACATTTATAATGTCCTGTCCGTTTCTATCTCTAGATATCAACTTGAATTATCGCTTGTCCGTCTATATCCCTACATTTTCCCACACTCTCCCCCTATTTACTTTGGCTAGTCCAAAGGTAAATATATTTACGATTATATGATAAAGTCAACTTCAACGTCATAATAGTCCTAATACGGACGTAACTGTTCAGTATTAACCCATAACTGCTAAATGTTCCATGCTAATGTTCTTCCTCTTCTTCTTCAGCAATTAGACGAATGTTCTCTTTCGCTATCTTTGCTGCCCGTCGTTTTGGTGTGAATTCTTTAACTGTTGCATCCAATTTCTTCTGGCTTGCTCTGTCGCACGATAACTCCATCGGATACAACTGTTGTATGGCACGTTCCAGGAACGACTTACCAGCTCTCAATCGTACTGCTCTCACAATTCCGTCTCTGCCTTTTATCAGCTTTTCTACGATGCCAATTTTCCATCGCCCACGATTTCGTTCATCACCCTTTATTAAGACTACATCTCCAGGTTTTGCATTCATCTCCGTTGTTTTGTTCTTCAAGTTGTGTCGTTCTCTCAAAGCTTTCAAATACTCAGCTGACCATCTCGACCACCATGCATTCTTACATCGTTGCAAGTACTTTGCTCTTTTTCTCAGATCACCATCGTTTTCATCATCAAGTTCTGCACTTTCTGGTATCAAATTAGGACGTCCTACTATCATGGCATGTGGTGTTAGAGTTGGCAATTGAATGTCATCTTCGACGTAATTTAATGGTCGATTGTTTAGGACTGTCTCAATATCCAAGAGCACTTCTTCCAGTTCCTCCCAGCGCAAATTTGCTTTACCCGTGGTCTTATAGAGAGCTTGTTTCACAAGCCCCACCATCCTTTCAAATTGACCACCCCACCAAGGGGCGCGGCTTAAATTGAATTGCCATGCAATTTTCTGCTTCGCTAGCCAATCATGCAACTGTTCATCTCTCATAGCCTTACGTAACCAATTTGCAGCTGCGACGAAAGTTTTCCCATTGTCTGAGTAAATCCGGTCTGGTCGTCCCCGTCTTGCAATAAGTCGCTTCAAACTTCGAATGCATTCGTCGGTCGTAAGATCAGGCAGCAACTCCAGGTACAATGCGCGTGTCAAACTGCAAGCGTAAAGCAATATGTATGACTTCTTCTCTTGACCTTTCTTAGCTCGATACGTTATCGGTCCAGCATAATCAATTCCGACAACTTGAAATGGCCATGCTCCTTCAGTTCTATTTCGCGGAAGATTGCCCGGAGGTGGTTGAGCAAGGGCGGTAGCTTGATGACGTTTGCAGCCATAGCACTTCTTGATTACACGCTTCGTAACACTTCGCAGACGAGGGATCCAGTACTCCTTTCTGATTTCTGTCATAACAAGTCCCACTCCCCCATGCAAAGTTCGCACATGAGCATCCATCACCAGCTTTTCTGTAAGTGTTGACTTGTCAGGAAGGTATACTGGGTAATCTCCCTGAATTCGACCTCGACATTCGAACAACTCTTTGTCATTTCTCTGTAAGTTGAGACGCTGTCGATCTTCCTCGAATTCTCTGGTTCCTTGACATTTCTCTTGCACTCGCTTTACCCAGAAGTCGACTTGAAGGTTGGTTTCTGCTGTCTTTAGAGGACCTTTGATTCGTTCCGATTGCTTCAACTTGCAATTGCTGGTGAACCTTGCTACCCAAGCGGTTGTTCGTATGACTTTCCAATACTCGAACTTTTCCATCAGCTCATCAAGCTTATCTTCCTCTCGCATCGCTACTGCCAACACATCTCGTACAATCTTAGCTTCGGATTCACTTTCTGCAGTCGCGCTCGTAACAACTGTCTCTGGCCAACTTTCTGGATGCTGCAGCCATGCAGGTCCCCGCCACCAAAGCTCGGATAGTTGTTCTACAGATCCACCACGGCTTCCCACGTCTGCTGGGTTTTCGGCTGTAGGTACATGTCCCCACTGGATGTAATGCTTTTCTTGGATTTTTCTTACGCGATTTCTTACAAACTGTTTATATTCTCCATTCCCGTTTATCCAATGGAGAGCCACGGTACTGTCAAGCCAACCGTAAACGCCTGTTACTGGAAAACCCGCCAATGCTACTTTCACGTTGTGCACAAGGTTAGTACTCATATGCGCCGACACTAGCTCTTGTCTGGGAATGGTCAGTCCGTGTTTTGCGAGACGCGACTTGGCGGCAACGAGTCCCTGGCTGACTCCTGTCTGTTGCTGAATCACTGCGTACACTATCGTTGAAACCCCTTTTCCACTTGCGTCCCCGAAAGTATGCAGTTGGATTCCTGTGATCTCTTCTTGATACTTGACAAGGCTTCTTGGCACTGTCACTTGGTCAGGTAGATGTTTCTCCCAACGCAACCATTTGTTAAGAACTGGAGTAGGTAGCTGTTTGTCCCAACATTTTTGGATTTCACAAACATCACGATACAGCATCTTACCAGCCACAGTGATTGGTGACACTAATCCTAATGGATCGTAGATTCTGGCAAGGTACCCAAGATTCCTCTTCTTGTGGGTTCTGCTTTCTGTTGCGACACTTTGACTGCTATAGTATCTTCACCTTTCTTCCATGGTAAGCCCAGTAACTTGGTTTCACCTTGCTGCACTCCTAGTTGCTCCTTCGCATAACTTTGTTGTTGGTCAAGGGTGGATGTGCTGGTTGTTTCTAGGTCAGGGTTGTTTGAATGCCACTTATGAAGTTCAAAGTTTGCTTCGCCAAAAATCGTTTGAGATGTTTCTTTCAAGTGTAAGGCTTTGGCTGGGGTCTCTCCTCCACCAATTAGGTCATCCACATAAAGGCTTCGTCTGATCTCTTCTACTTCGTGTGGGAATCTCTCTTGACACAGTTCCAAATGTTGTTCAATCACTCCTCCCAGAAGGAAGGGGGATGGAGCGAGGCCAAACAGGGCGCGTGTGAATCGTAGTGTTTCCACTTCTTTAGTTCCCAAATCTTTGAACCAATGAAATTTCAACACATCTCGATCTTGATTCTTTATCCACACTTGTAAGAATGCTTGCTTCAGATCTCCCGCAATGGCCACTGGATAGAATCGATTTCTCACCAACACGCTCCAAAGTAAGTTCTGCAAGGATGGCCCAGTTTCCAAACACTCATTCAGGGAAGGTGCTTTCTCATTCTCTCGAGCAGAAGCATCGTAAACGATGCGAAGCTTGGTGGTCTCGGCGGAATCACGAACAACGGGTTTGTGAGGGATGTAGAACTCACGACCATCTGCTTCTTCTGTTGCTTTCTCTACAATGCCTTGCGATAACTGATCTTTGATAACATCATCATACTTCTGAAGCATACCGGGTTGTTTCTCCAACTTCCTGGCAAGGTAATTTAACCTTCTTAGACTTCCCAGCTCATTATTTGGTAAAGGTGGATGGCATCCTCTCCAGGGAAGGCCGGTTTCATACGATCCATCTGGGCGTCTGATCAACTGTTCCTTGAATTCTTCATATACACTCCGTTGGTCTCCTGCTGGCGAATCTTTCAAGCCCAACACATCAAGGCTGCAGAGATTTTCATAGTCCACGGTTGACGTTTGCGTTAAGAACATGTTTGACAAGTCCACTTCACTTCCAGGTGAGATAAGGGTCCAACCAAAACGGGTGAATTCTGCAACAGGGTCTCCAGGTTTACCAACACGGGGTCTGGTTTCGGTTTTAATTTTCGCATATTCACTTGCCCCTAGAATAAGGTGAACAGGCAATTCTGGCTTCTCATCCACATCTTGCATCTTTATTCCGTTGAGGTAGGTGAATTTCTCTATTATCTCCTTGTATCTGGGGTTGGTTAGGGAAAGGAGTTTATCACGGTCAACTTTTGTTACCTCGGTATCAAGATGAAAGTTTTCTTCTAAGCTATCAATCTTGATCTTGTGAACTTCTATCATCTTGGTGCTCGATTGCATCATCATCTCAATTCTTCGATACTCTTTGCGAACAGGTGAAGTATTCAGACGAGCTAGGAGAGTTGCAGAAGCATAGGAGCTTCCAGCGCCAGTGTCTAATAAAGCTCTACACATGATTCCATCTACTTCTACCACGACTATTGGATATACGACTGCTCCTTCGCCTGTAGCCACAAGTAGGGGGGTTTTACTTTCACAAATCGAGGTGTGATGTCTTCTCTTGCAATTGCGACATCCCAATTGGCTTCGACATTCAGATGCTTTATGACTTTTTCCTGTACAGTTAAAACATAGTTGTTTAGTGGACAGGATCTTTTTGCGGTCAGCAACAGTAACAACACTCTTACATTCGGCTGGCTTATGATCAGTGTTCTCACAATAAATACATGGTTTTGGTTTGGATTCTTGTTGCTTTGTTTGGAAGCTTCTGGTTTTCTTTGTACCAACTGAATTGGTGTCATTAATCTTCTCCTCCTTTTTGATTGGGTTTCTCACTGTCCACTTCCCTAATGCTTCAATCAATTCTGGGAATTTCCACTCTTGCCAGGAGTCATCAGTTCGAACTAGATCTCCACGAATTCCTTCCAATTTATCAATAGTCATTCGAACATAACCAGCTATTTCTTTCAACTTCCCCAGGGTTTCAAGCGATTGGGCATTCCATAGAAGCTTCTCGTAAAAATCATGTATCTTTGCAGGATTGGAGCCCTGGACCCGAGGTAGCAATAATATGTTCTGGATATAGGCATTAACTATTTCGCTAGTATTCCCGTACTTGCCCTTCAAAATAGCTTTGGCGCGTTCGTACCCTTCAGAGGTCAGGGGTAAACCATCAATACGGCTTCGAACTTTTGCATCTAGCAGCTCTTTCAGGTAGGAAAATTTAGTTACAATAGGTATTTCAGCAGCCTCTATCTCCGCCTCAAACTGATTCCAAAATCTGAGCCAGTCAGTAAATTCTCCGTTAAATTTCGAAATAACAAGTTTTGGTAGCTTTGAATTTGACCTTGAAAGATTATCCTTAGTCTTGACTTGAGCTTGGCGGCTTTCTTCGATTTTCTTCTCATACATCATTCGTTGTTCAAATTTTTCTTCTTCAAATTTCATCTCTCTTTCGAATTGTTTCTGCTTCATTTGCTCTATAAGTTGTTCTTCGTCTTGCTTTGTTTGTTCCAATGATCTTTTGTTCAGTTCCTTTATCACGCTTTCAAGCTTTTCTATATTCCCTTCAAAAGTCGTCAACTGGCTGTCGATATCCGAGCTCCACTCACGTATATTATCTGTCTCCTCGTCACTTTGAATTTTAAGCTCTTGTATTTCAACTTTTAAACTGTATACTTCTTCCAATTTCGTTTTGAGCACTCTTTGTTGTCTTTCCAGTGACGGTACGTGTCCTTTCTCAATTGTTCGTTGTGTTTCTTCATCGGTTAGCTTCAGTAGTTTGATCTTAGTCTCCATCGATTTCAATTTACCTTCGTAGGTCGCCATATTTTCACAAATTTCACACAAATTTTCCGAGATTTTCGCTTAAAATCACAGTTCCCATTCACGTCAGAGGTGCCACTTTGTCGATAATCGCTTTATGAGACGACAATAAAGACCTACGATTGGTTCTATTCCTTTTTAATATCTAAAACATGCTATTTTTATACTAAATAAATGCTCTCGAAAAACAACAACGTTCCGCCATCTTGGATTCTCACACGTGTTTTTATAACCCTATTTATCCCTACATATCCACATTTATAATGTCCTGTCCGTTTCTATCTCTAGATATCAACTTGAATTATCGCTTGTCCGTCTATATCCCTACATTTTCCCACAATTATAAAATCGGTATCGGGTAGATTGTTGCATTAATAATCGGTAATTTCAGAAATTCAGGTCGTGGCACAATCGGTCAATCGCTATTATATTAAAACCTTGAAAAATCACAATCTTGTGGATATCACTATACAGTAGGCTTTTATAAAACATGATTAAAGATGAACAGCAAATTAAAAGTTTACGCCCACATGAAACTTTTACTTTTTTGGCAAGTTAACATGTATCAATCTGATCAACCCAGGCCTTAAAATATCGGTCGGTCACGGACATTGTCCGACCCATTCGTGAAATTGTCCGACGTAGAGAGGAAACCACCGGACATTCTGTCCGACCAAAGTGAAACTGAGGTTTATTGTTTGTCCGACCCAAGTGAATTGGTGTCCGACCGGACTGTAGCTTTGTCCGACGTAAATCAAAATGTATCCTAGCCCAGGACTAGAGGCTTGTATGTTAAATGGAAAATCAGAGTACTATTGTATAAAAGGTGAACGGCTGGAAATGTTGTTGTAACGTAGTCGAGCGCGGCGAAATGGTGAAGTGGAAAACGGGCTTAAGTTGTCGAAGTCTTTTCTAACACTGCTGTTCTGGCAAGCAAGTTAATTTTGGCTTGGAAATAAGTATGAAAGAAACAAATTATTTAATATCTTTACAACATTTACCGTTTATTCATTTGTGTCATTCAGACTTATTTCCGAGTCAAAACTGAACTGAAGGTCATCGGACATATGTCCGACTCAAACTCAACGTCACCGGACATTTTGTCAGACGGCCCTGGAAAAGATATTTTAAGGCCTGTCAACCAGCCAAGTTTTATGTACTATTTAAAACATGAGCAGGCTGAGCAGCAGTGTTTTATCAGATATAAAGATACGAGGCGAAGCCAAGTATATTTAGGTCTGATAAAACACGCACTGCGAATGTTTTAAATTGCTTCAAAAACGATCGATGTAGTATGTTCATTGGCGAAGTAATTTTCAAAAAATAATTTGTGTAAGTCGAGAAAATCAAAGTTAAAGTTTACGTAAATCAAGGGAAATCCCTATCACATATAAAGATACGACATGCTTATGATTTTTCTTTGTGTTTTCCTCATGAATTATTAATGAGTTTTTGTGAAGTGAAAATAAGTAATGTTTTTATCGTTTCAATAAACTCTTTTGAAGGACTTAAGCTAACGATATTTTAGTATAAACCTACTAGTAGGCTATCACATATCGTGGCTTCTGATTGGCTACGCTACTAGTAGGTTATTAGTGATAGCCTACTAATAGAAAATTCAAAATGGCGGAAAATTCGCGTTTTGCACTTTTGCCGAAGTGTCTGATGATTTTTTGGACGACTTGTTGAATAATTCTGTTCTAAAAAAAAACCAAAAGCAACAAAAATATGGAATGGCAATTTTTAAGGGTAAGAAAATAGACAAAATAACATACACTCAATGAAATTTTAAAATTAAAACTGAATTTTGTAAAACATTTTACGCGAACAAAACTAAAATATTTGTTTACCTTTAATGGTTTTATAGTGTTTTTTGTGTATTTTTGTATTGTGTTTGCAGCCTAGTTGTAAATTAATGTTAAAGTATAAACTAAAACAATTAGACAACTCGGCCTCGTTGTCTAATTGTTAATTAGTACAATATTGTTAGTATTTAGTACAATATTGTTAGTATTTAGTACAATATTGTTAGTATTTAGTACAATATTGTTAGTATTTAGTACAATATTGTTAGTATTTAGTACAATATTGTTAGTATTTAGTACAATATTGTTAGTATTTAGTACAATATTGTTAGTATTTAGTACAATATTGTTATTTATTAATTTAGGTTTGTCCTGTGTGTGCTGCGTTGCCTCGGGGTGATCCGAATCATGTGACAGATGATTTTATTGCGCATTTAACAATGGAGCATAAGTCACAATCAATTAGAGATTTCATATCCTTTTTTACAATAAACAATACTGTATATAATATTTTATCGCAAACATAGTGATCCAGTATGTAGGTAGTATTGTACAATAACTTTTAGTGGTTTTTGTCTGAACTACCTGAAAAAGACATCTCAAACGTGGTGGTCCAGTGTAGGTAGTATTTGTACAATACGTTTTAGCGGTTTTTGTCTGAACTATCTGAAAAAGGTATCTCAAACGTGGTAATCCAGTGTAGGTGGTATTCTACAATAAGCTACCATGGTTTGTCTGTTTGTCCAGTGTAGATTGTATTCTACAATTTTGCGAAAATTTCCAATTTTTACTGTCGTTCCAATTGAAGTGTTGCTCAAATATTGATTCAATACATTACCTCGGGCTGACCAATTCATTTGATCAAGTTCCTCGAGATATTCATACACTTCCTGTGAAAGAGCCAATTCCAAGTATTTTGATCTTTTCTGGTTACTTCCTTTCTACTGTATTTATGATTGGTTAGTTGCACAAACAACAAAGGTGATTGGTGCATTCAAACTATTCAACAGGAAGTGTACAATTATACTAGGAAGTGTATGAATATCTCGAGGAACTTGATGAAATGGATTGGTCAGCCGGAGGTAATGTATTGAATCAATATTTGAGCAACACTTCAATTGGAACGACAGTAAAAAATATTGAAAAATACTTTTTCTTTAACTTCATTGTACGACGAACCGACAGGAAGTCGAGTGCGACGTATTCTTCATGGCGGTCGGAGCCTGGGGCAAGCGCGTGCTCGTCGTGCAACCAATCAGAGTTTAGGCAACTCATCCTCGACAACACCACAACTTGTCTCGAACCCGGCGACAGTTCGCGATACAATCGATCCAATTGCCGAGCTGCTGTCGCAACTTTCCGGCGTCCGACGAAGTGCACAGCAATCCCAGCAGTCTGTGCAATCCCAACTACAACTTTTACAGCAACAATTGCAATTTGAGAGACAACAAGTACAGCAAACTAGGGAGAGATTAGAACGGTTGCCAAGACGACCAATGAATTCCACAATCGGCACGACAGCTCCAGCGACACAGACAGTACGGAGTGAGAATTCCAGTACTTCCAATTCTGCTTTTCTATTAACAAGGTGAGATAATTAAATCACAACTGAGAGGCCCTATATACACCGAACCTGACAATTTCAAAAGCGTACCCAAAATTGCCTTGCACATTCACACAGGCCTATTCTAGAGACGGCGGACTCTAGATTTTAACGTTTTCTCGGAGGTGTATGCTCCCAAACCCGCTGACTGATAGTACCATATATTGTATGGATGCAACTAAATACGTTTCCGTGAATGAACAAATAATAGATTTCCCTTATTACGTTTTCGTAGCGCTTTGCATTGTGGCTATAGTGGTATCGCTGATATTCAAGATGGCTTATTTTTTGTCCTGACCCGTGCAAGAACTTTTAAAAAAAGCTAGGGTCAGGTGCGCGATAGCCAACAGCAAAATATTCGCGAAAACATTCAATATTTTCATTCGAGGCCGCTATCTTTATCAGTGATACCACTATAACCACAATGCAAAGCGCTACGAAAGCGTAATAAGGGGAATCGCGAATTACGGGCAAAAGCTTCATTGAAGCAAGAACTTCATTCATTCGGTCCATGAGAAAATAATTGACGTTCAATAGCTAAGAAGATCGTAAACAGTTTTAATCCCAGCTAATTCCAGTTTTTTCTAACGGACCGTATCGCTAATCAAGTTATCAGTTCATAAAATCATTGTGTCAGGGACGCCGGAACTAGGGGGCAGCCGCCCCCGTTGCCCTTTACCAGGAGGGGCAAGGGGGGGCAAAGGTGCCCTTTCAATTTAAAGGATTGCCTTGGCGAAATAGCGAATTGTCAGAAATGTTAGTGCGATTCTTTTACGTGTTTGCTTCAGAAAATGCAAGAAATGCAGTCATAGAAAACATGATTAGGCGAAGTTCAACTCCCGATGTTTTGCAAAAATCTCTTAGTATATACCAATTCAAAAGTGCCCTTTCACGAAAATCTGCCCCCCTTGCCTTCACATCGTTCCGGCGTCCATGCATAGTGTTATTCTTAAATCAATGTCAAAATACGAAATTTTGGTACACTCCTTGCCAGCTTCGTGTTAACCGCGTAGACAAAAACAATAGAAAGGGATTGGAACTGACATCCAATAAGCTCTTCAATAGACCTTATGCATAATGACGTCACAAGGCTTGATGCCCGCGAGGAATGCTGGTCTTAGTAGTCATCGCCCGGGAAAATTTCGATAGTGGCCGTTTTGAATTGTTTAATTTTCCCGGGCGATGACTACTAAGACCAGCATTCCTCGCGGGCATCAAACCTTGTGACGTCATTATGCATGTTTCTGCCATCTTGGCTTCACTTTCTGGACTCGAGTTCTCGTTCCAGATATATATGGAGCTCAGTGGTTTTAATCTAATCCTGTGTGTTCGTTTGCAGATGTTACGACAGTGAACTACAGGAGAACGAGAAATGCGAGCTAGAAGAACGAAGAGCGAACAGAAGTCTTTTTGTTCAAGATTTATTAGTCTCAACCCTCGAGTCTGTAAAGTCTGCTCGACCTGAAGAATTGCTACCTATTGATCATGATAATCAGGACTTACTTAGTACTGCTTCGGCTATATCGGATACGTCAGAAGGAGATGAGGCCGAAAGTGAGCCAAGTAAACTTGCAGATGCAGACTTAGAGTTGATCAATCTAGACGATGTCGATCAAAAAGAATTATAACCATTTCCTTACTAGGAAAATAGAATTTGTAGGCCAATAAGAAATGTTTTATCGTTTTGGAATTCCTAGAAAGGTTGGGATATTGGGATTCTAAGAATCTTGTAAGATTCTCGAACCTTAAGATGTCATGGTTCTGAGAAATCCGGTTACATGGAAATGAAGACGTGGCCATTATAATGAAAAAATAAATGCATTCATCTCCCCATCGAAATCCGGATACCGGAAAAATTGTTTAAAACATAAAAAGTAATAAAGAATAGATATCTATACAACAAAATAACAAGCTGATTTATTTGCTGTTTAAATATTAGAGAATGGTTTTAAAAACAAACACAATAATATTGAAGTAAATATCACAGAAAACAAAGCAAAAGTTGAAATGACAATTCGACAATGTGTTATAATATTTTTCTTAAAATGAAAATTGTTGCAGTCCAATTTATACTCTACCACATGCCACATTAAATACTTGCAAGGTTATTCATAGGTATCTACTGTATATTACGAGCAATATAACGTTAAATTCCCTTCTTAGTTCTTATCAAAATATTTGCCAAAAAAGCACCAGAGTCCAAAATGGAAAACCATATATGCCTTCTCGATTCGGTGAAATACATTTGCAGTTTTTCATTATTTATAAGTTGAATTTTTGTGGGAAGGAAGGTCTGTCCTGTATAAAAGCATATATCCATATACGTTTTTCTGGTTTTCAACCTTTTGTTCATTTGTGCGTCTAATCCTTATATATACAGTCTATATGTGTGTTTTCACAAACAGTATGGTAATACTGTTTGGTGGACAAAAAGAATAAATTTGATCCTTGCAGTCATTCAAGTATACAAATTACATATAAATATCCAGCTGGATTTTTTTTCAGATATCCAGTATCCGGTCAGATAGTAAAAATTACTATCCGATGCACCCGCATTAAAGGCCACGTCTTTGGTTTCCCCCTGTAACCAGTCCCAACCACCCTCGTCTCAGGACTTTCTTTACGTCCCGCCGCGCGTCCAGCAGATAGCTCTGGAACGAGAATTGATCTTGATATAGGTCTTTTACATGCGAGATTTTTACAAATTATAGTGGCGCTGTAGGAAAATTGAACTGATTGTCATAAAATAGTTGTAGTAGCATAAACGTTTGACGAACTATCTGAAAAAAACACGTTTGCATTTCAGGTTGTAGTTTTAATGTCTGACTGAAATTTGTTCTATAAAAAAATTATCTGAAGTTGCGAGGTTTTGTGTTCACTGCATTTGTCTTGTTCATCGTTGAGCCAAACTCGGTCCCAGAAAATTTCGTTCCCAGAGAGAAACAAACAAAACAAACAAACAAACAAACAAACAAACAAACAAACAAACAAACAAACAAACAAACACACACAAGAGAGTTAGAAGTGGATGGACTATACATTGGGGAAATAATGGTGGTCCTGGCATCTAGGATCCCAGAAAATTTTAATACCTGGCTCAGCTGGCAATAAATTTTAGGAAATTGTCATTGACACAGGCACAGAAAATAATAATCTATTTGGAAAAATATTAGTGAGCTGGGCATAAAACTTTGGCCCCAAAATTTAGGATTGGTAAAAAAATATTATCTTGATCCTGCTATAAATTGGCGCAAGGACAAGTTTAATTATACAACTTAAAAAACGTTTAGTATATAAGTAAGGTCATTTAGGCTGACTCGATCATGGAGGTAGCGTTCCAGTTATATTCACCACAGACACTTCCGCTAGTTTCGCTAGATTTCGCCCGCTATCTGTTAGACTTGCTCCAAGTCTGTCTTTCATTGTCATATAGTATCGATCCACTATAGTGTACTGTGTACATTACATGACGTAGCACGGAGAGGCGGAACGAGAAAGAGAGACTTGTCAACTTCGGAAAATCTCGGTTCAAAACTGAACCGAAAATGCAAGACTTGCTTTAATCGTTTTCTGTCAGTGTTTATATGTATTGATCTAGCACAGTGTAAATAACATGAGTTCCATTATAGTAAATAATACAGAAAGAAATTGAAGGAAAACAAATTAAAGCAAGTCTTGCATTTTCGGTTCAGTTTTGAACCGAGATTTTCCGAAGTTGACAAGTCTCTCGTTCCGCCCCTCCGTGCTACGTCATGTAATGTACACTATAGTTATGCTATAGTGGATCGATACTATATGACAATGAAAGAGGGACTTGGAGCAAGTCTAGCTATCTCTAGGCTCGAACTCGCCTAATTTTCCCCTGGATTTGACCCTATTTTTACAGTAAATTCACTTCGGTTAACACGAACTTCTAGCTCACTTAATAAATTTCATTTTCCCTTGGTACAACTACAAGATAATTTACAAGACGGCACCGATCCCGTAAAGCCCATTTTCCACTAGACGGATTTGTTCGCGCGAAGCGAAAAACAAATCTTGGCAATGCACGATTGGTCAGCAAAATAATTTGCCACGAAAAAGTTGGATCAGTTCCTACTTCTTTATTGTTTGCGCGAAGCCGCGAACAAATTCGCCTAGTGGAAAATGGGCTTAACTCGAACATTTTTTTTCGCTTCCCTTGGGAGTAGCGGGGTTCTTTAATTATATTTTCAAAGGCATTGGACTTGCTTACAAGTCGATTTTTCGCGGTATTATTTATATTCGAGTTCGCCCACTCATTTTAATGACTCGCTCGTTTTGCTCCATACAATGCAAGACAAGTTTACGATGAGTCGCCTTGAAGCAAGTCTAAATGGGTATGTGCCCATAGATATCTTATATACACTATAGATAGTGCATCTAATTATTCTGCAATTCAAAAATTGAAGCCGTGATTGCAGACTCAGAACATTCCCATGGAATGAAAAGACTCGTAATCGTATGTTTTCTATTTCTTAAACAGGGAACTTAAACATTAACTTAAACCTATCCAAATACATTTTCAAACTGTTCAAATGATGAAAGTTATTGTAGTTTTTTAAGAGTTTATTAGCGAGTGGGAAACTTCAACATGGCCGCCATCTATTCAAATGGGGGTAACCGCTGGAATATTCTTGGCTTCAATTAATTTTACTTAAAGCGATGCGCTATCTAGTGTACAGGGTGTCCCAAAAAAACCCGAAAACTATTGAAATCACTTATTGTTAAATTTGAATGCCCTACCAAACAGCTGGACGTAATGATGCGTAAAATATTGACAAAGCGCATGTATTAGAATTTAGTTAGGAATATCTCCTGGTAATGCACATTTTCATTGTTTTGAACAGGTTATTATTTTCAAGAATCGACATGCGCAAGTTAATGCAACGTCATTTAATGTCAGGAGGTTATTATTTTTAATAATGACCTCCAATATTTAAAATAATGACCCCGATTTTTCGCTTGAATAAAAAATAAACCATTGTGCGTTGAACTGATGTAATACTTCGTTGAGGTCAACTTCTGGCATCATATGTATTTCTGACTTGTAAACCAAGAGAATTTTATCAACCAAACGCATTTCCCTTCCATCTTGAGAGATCTCCTGGCGCCATTGTGACCAAGCGTCGAACATTCTGTATGCCCACATCGCTTTCCTCTTAGTATTTTCTGGGATGCTTCGCGCAGCCAACTCTATCATACTTTTATTGCTGCAAATCTCAAACCGGTCAGACGTATTCTGTTGCTCTATTACAAAATATAAATAAATTCAAATATTAATCGCTATGATTAATGCTTGTTACTAACTTTTAAACAGAACTTAGCTAAGACAATTTTCACCTTTTCTATCCAACGTGCTTTTCCCAGGTGCATTACATCGCCGCTCACTGACACTGTCTATCTGATTTGGCCTTTCCAGTGAAATTCTCCGCTCTGCAAACAAATCCAATGACTGGGAAAGTATTCCACCAGCCCATCGTCTTCCAAATCTAGACAGTCGCAATCCCAATCATTGGTCAGGTCCGTCTTTTCAACTTCAAATTCATCGTCATATCCTTCTCCAAACAAACTAAAATCTCGCTTTCTCGAACCAGCATCCTCACTCCACAAATATCAATCAAGTAATAAAAAGGTAGCTGTTGAGAAAACACAGCCCAGGAATGCGCATACAAAACACAAATATGGTGTGAAAAATAATAGTACCACAACAATGAACTTGTAACTATCTTAATAGTTTTCTTTGTTCATAAACACCATAATGTGCATTAAGTCGGGTAATGCCCTCGCTCTCGGTATTATAAAAATAATGACCTCGCGCTACGCGCTTGGTCATTATTTTTAATAATACCTCGAGCTTGGGCATTATCCTATACGTAAAGTGCGCGATTTTCTGCTCCTGGGAATTAAAAAAACAGTTTCTTTATGCACTCGTGGGAACCAACAGAGCGCTAAGGCATTCAAATTCTAACAATTAAATTGTTATTGGTGATTTCAATAGTTTTCGGGTTTTTTGGGACACCCTGTATATAAGATATCTATGTATGTGCCACAGTGAACGAAAGTACAGAGTTAATTATCTCGAGCCGGCTTTAAACACTCCCAAAATTCCTAACTGTCGTATCCCCATGCATTTCATATACCGACACACCTGAACAGATCTAGAATTGCAGTTCTTCACGTCTCAAACCTTTTGGGATTTCCAATCCTGTGGGATGCATTGTATCGGCGGTCAAAGCATGTAATTTCATTTGCAGCAAGCATTTTAAACAGAACTTATGCAAATTTGCGTTGATTAATCACAACGGGGGCTGAGAATTTAGTGTAGGATTCTTTCTTTCTTCTACCACCTGCTGCCGCGAAGCGCCGTATTTAGCAGCTGGCTTGAGAGGTTAACCACTGACTGCGTTTGTTTTTATCTTTCGTCGTTTTGTTCAAACTGTGTAGTGTAAAAGACGTTAGCAACCGCTTGTAGTGCTTTAGCCTAACGTATAGAGATTGTAGTCGGTTTAAGAGTGGTATAAATGGTCTTTTTTAAACCTGCATATTGGACTTTACTTCACTGATGTAGGGGCGAACTTTATAGCGAACAAAAGTGCTGTCTGGATTGATATTTGTTGTCTTGTTAATGTTGACGAAGTCTACAAAAAGTTCACAGATACAGTATGAGTAAAATCTTTCGAAGAAAGGGCTTGGCATTGCTCTCAGGAATTCTGTGTCTACTGGCCACTGGAATAATTGTGACAGTATTGATAAATGACCCACACAAACCAGAGACTAGACCATGGTCTGCCTGGGTCCAGGCGAACTTCACTCGTACAATACAAGTGAACGGAGTAAATCAAGTTCTGGCAAAAACTGGATGGGTTTACTTTGGTTTGTTTAAAGGCTACAAGGAGAAGTCATATTCTGGAAACTATCAAGGCTTGAGAACGGAATATTTTGAAGGTATGAAAACATAGAATATGTGTTTTTGTTCTATGTCTATGAGCTTTCAACTGGAAAATTTAGGTATTACACTATTATTACTGTATAATTATCGTACCGTATTTCACGCAACTAGGATTCGGTAAACTGGGACCAGTGTAGTTTAAATATATGGGTTCAATGAGTGTGAGAATTTCTACCCTAATTCTTTACTGTTACGAATGTGCTTAAATTTACTTTCCTCCTATCATTAAATTATTATAAATATTAATTATTTTTCAATTTACATCTATCTCATAAATTTAGAAGTAGTTCGTCACAAGTCTAAATAAAACTCAACGACAAGTCGACAACGCTTTTCTAATCGCACAAAATTCGCCGTCATAGCAAAACTAGCGAATAGCGTTATGTCATTTCAACGAATTAAATTTCTCGTCTGCGAGGCACCAAATAAGGAAAGCGCATACAAATTAAAGAAAATGAAATTCCAGGCAATACTTGTTGCAGTTATAGAAACATTGATATTTGATATACACCGAAAGCCGCACATTTTTAGCTATAGTAAGTTTGACATATAAATAATTAATCAGTCAATTCTCATGCACGTCTTATTAAAGGCAAGCTTTTTCAGAATCTTTTGTCTGACTTAAATTTGCTCGTCTTGCATTAAATTAATCTTGTCAACTGTACGATGTTTTTAAAAATATTCTATTACTTGATATCCAAATGTTTTAAAAATCATTTATATAGACATTATTGCCCACACACTACACAGTCACAGATATTTAAGTCTACTATACACTGATTGCAAGCTTCGTTCCAATGATTGCACTGTTATTCATTCTACAGACTTACAGTTAAATAGTTAATATATTATGTCATCTTTGGCTTTGCCTTTGAGAGCGCGGTTTAATTACTAGAACTATGTTCAAACCGGCCAATAAGCCTTTATTAAAATATGAATTATGTGCATGGCGCAAACTTATGGCCATTATGATTTTTTAATCTTTTATCGTTGCTATACGACTATATACTTATAGTTTGCGAGACTATGGTCAGACATATAGCTGTTGTTGATTTACAATACAATCGATATATGAAGTATTTTTATACAAACTTAAGCAGTGGTCTATAACGTCAAATATATTCTGTGTACACATAACTGTGCTTGTTACTTAGTTACAACAATCATTTATTCAAATGAAGCATTATTGCAAGTGCATACGTCGTATGAACTTCAACCACGATTTTGAAAGCAAACAATTTGATATATTATTCCGGTACAAAATTTCGCTAAAATTGAAGAAAGTTTTGGTAGAAAACAAGAATAGTTGGGTTCTGTCATTTTGGTCGAATGATTGGAGTTATTCGAGTGTTAAAATGGGGAAAATTTGTCGCAGAAATTCTTTATTCTTCTTTGCTGGTTTGCTTGCCCTTTGTGCTATTGGGGCAATAACATACGCACTCTTGAGCGAAGAATTGGTCTCCTGCAAGATCAGGCGAAATGTTAGCAATAAAACGTTCGATGCAGGCTGGAAAAAGTTTGGCTTAATCAGAGGGTGTGAAGAAATACAACCTTTCAAGTTTGGTGGCAGTGCGAGAGATAAGTGTTTCCAAGGTATAGCATGATTACAGCCAGCTATGAAAGTAGAGTACATAATATGTCATTGCATGGCGGCTCATAAGCAATAAAGCAAAGCAAGAGACGATTAATTCACATAAGCTATATTTATTTCCAGGGTAAAAAGCGGGAGGATTGCGTGTATGTGAGTTATGTGTGCATGGAAATATACTATAGGCGACTATTAAAAACTCTGCATAAATATGTACAGTCTTTATAATTATAGCAGTGCATGCCGACTGATGCAGTGTTATTGTGCAAACATCTTAGACTTTACTCTGTTGCTGGGTTCCAAATCAAATCAAATCATTAAATTCCGTGAAAAAATAATTTCTGACTGTCCCAACCGGGAATGGACTATACGTTAAACCAGATACGCTTGAGATCCCCGATTGGGATCTCAGAAACATTCTGTGTAACATACACACTCATGCGGGATATCCACCCTCACGGCGAATTGTGGGACTGATGCGGGCTGATCAGGTCAAGAATGGTAGACTCGCTTATTGCCCTCAGCAGTGTACTGGAGGTTGTGTCATTGTGGATTTGTGGGGTTAACATGGAAACACTGCCTCACAAAGGATTGAAAAGAAATGTTTTGGCAAGTGTTCGACTCTGTTTAGACACCCGACATTCAAGTTACTACTCGAGTACAGCCACACTGCTGAGGGTAAAACCTGTACAGACGAACTAGTTTTCCTTGTATACTGTCTCGTGTGTACGGTCAACAAACGTTTCTTGATAAGTTTCACTTGACAAGTTCACGTTTTCTTGATAACTTTCACTTGGCAAGTTTCACTTGCATAAATGTAGAGTCTTTATAATTAGCAGTACATGCTGACTGAATTGATGCAGTGTTATTGTGCAAACATCTTAGACTTTACTCTGTTCTGGGTTCCAAATAAAATAAAATCATCAAATTTCGTGAAAAAATCATTTCTGACTGTCCCAACCGGGAATGGACTAGGCCTATACGTTAAACCAGATACGCTTGAGATCCCCGATTGGGATCTAAGAAACATTCTGTGTAACATCAATGCGGGATATCCACCTGGGAACTGATGCGGGCTGATCAGGTCAAGAATGGTACTAGATTTGCTTATTGCCCTCAGCAGTGTACTGGAGGTTGTGTCATTGTGGATTTGTGGGGTTAACATGGAAACACTGCCTCACAAAGGATTGAAAGGAAATGTTTCGGCAAGTGTTCCACTCTGTTTAGACACCCGACATTCAAGTTACTATACCCGAGTACAGCCACACTGCTGAGGGTAAAACCTGTACAGACGAACTAGTTTTCCTTGTATACTGTCTCGTGTGTACGGTCAACGGGTTTTCCTTGATAAGTTTCACTTGACAAGTTTCACGTTGCTCGTGCGCAGTAACACTGAAACTTTAACATAGCTAAATACATTGTCACTTGTAATGAATAATCTGATTAATAATAATAATGTAATAATTAAAATATTTAGTCAGGGGATCCATTCACAAAAGTGATTTTCGGTGTAGCCCTGATAAAATAAATAAATAAGAAGAAAAACTAACAAAAGTGAATATATATATGAAAGGTTATATAGTATAATGTTCTACAATCTTTGACATAACTGGTTGAGACTATTTTCCCCCTATAGAAAATTCGCATATTTTTATGATAAATTCCATGTTGAATCATGTTGCCCTTCTTAAGCCCCGCTCCCCGAACTCAATGTTGAGCGTGTGTCATGGTTTATTACCAAAAGTTGACAACATTGAACTGGGGGGGGGGGGTGGAGGGGGAGACAAAGTTTGTTTTGTTAATGTTCAATAACTTTGTAATATTGGCTGGAATGGTCTCAAAGGTTTTGTCCAAGATTGTAGCGCATCCTATCAGTTCAGTCGAGTGTCCTATGCATGCAGATAATTAAATGTTTCTTTAGTTTAGTTTTAAAAGTTTTAATTTGACGTATATTCCGGAGTTGCATAGGCAGACTGTTCCAGTCGTTGGCAGCATGGTAGCTGAATGCCTGCTTCCCCCAGTTCTTCCTGACGCGTTCCAAATGTATGTTCTGGTTTATTTCGAGTGTTGTATTGCTGTGGATGTCAGCTAAAGGAGTACTTGAAATTGAATTTGAAATGAAGTTTATATGAAGTTTATATAGTGGTGCCATGCAATGGAATCATCTTTCAGAGGATTCAAAAAATCCTGAAACCCTTTCTTCTTTTAAAAGAAAAATACGTCAGGCATGAACACTCCCTTTGGATCGCACCAATTTAGTTTTTATATAATTACTTTTCTATTATCCTTTGCTTCCTTGTTTTTGTATATAGTTTAACTTGTATATAGTTTAATGTGTATATTCTTTAATTTGTAAATAGTTATTGTGTGACGCCCCTCATGAAAAGCAGCTCACGTTGATCGAGGCTAGCGTGTTTAAATAAAGTTTTACCATACCATACCATACCATACCATACCATACCATATCGTACCGTACCGTATCGTATCGTATCGTATCGTATCATACCATACCATACCATATTCAGTTATTTAAAGTTATTTAACATCATGCTAAGGCTGGCTTACACTATCGAGGTTTCTGTGATCATATAGTAGGGATTTTGCATAGGTATATATAAATTCTAAGTTTCGAAGGATTTGCATTGTAAGAAATATTTGAGGGAACAGACTCATACATGTGTTAACACTGACTGAGTTCACGGCTTAAACATTTCTTACAAATACTTGCAAACTTAGAATAGGTTAGGAATAGGTTACCTCCCAGGTAAGGTTCTCCTCATTTTCAGTTGAATTACAAAATTGATCCTGAAGAAACGCGGAGGGGGGAGGTGTCCGGGACCCCACATTCCCCCACGTGGCTACGTCTCTGTCTTACCGCACGGTCTTGTACACACATAAATATCTCACAACTTGTCAACAAGATGTGTTCGCAACAGGCTTGTAGCATGCTTTTCAACAACTTGCAACAGTTCTGTTATTTTATCAAGTTGCTACAAGGTTGTCACTCACAACTTGTTGGCAAATTGTTGAATTGCAGGACGATAACAAGTTGTTTGAACAACTTGTAACAAGTCTGTTGAGCTCAACAACCTTGTAACAAGTTGCCAACAAGCCGTTGGCAACTACATCCTGTTGACAAGTTGTTGGAACAGCATTGCTACAAGTCTGCTACAAGCTTGTGTACTTCAAATAACACAACGTTTAGATGGAACAATCCGTGGCGTTATTAATTCATATGAATGTCTTTGCTTTTTAGTGTTCAAAGAATTTGATAATGTGTTCAACCTGAAAATACTCTATGCTGTGATTGGCTGCCTTGTAGTTGGCGGTATCGTCCTAATACTTTCTGCAGGACTCAGTTTTTATAACGAGTTTACCAAATCTTCATACGTCATACTCGGCTCTGTGGGTCTCTATATTTTTAATGGAGTTGCATGTGAGTATGTTAGAATGTTTTTTTTCAATATTTTGCATGGTATCATATCTTAACAATCGAGTGTAGTTCTTTAAAGGGAAATAGCAATAAAAGTTAAGTTTCTCCCATTTGGAAGAGGGGTTCCATATAGTTCAAAACATTTTTACGAATTTTCTATACCGTTCTTAGTATTACCCTTCATTTCAAACAAAAGCATGCATTCCGCCATCTTGAATGTGCATGTGCGTGACGTCACATCCAGGGTAACATTATTTTGTATTTTGAGCAATTTTAATTTCAGGCCATTTTAATTAATGATAAATAGAGATTACTTCATGGTTGATGAGCGCGTACGATTTTTATGCACGAGTTGCGAAAAATTCCTATAAACGAACGAGTGAGCGCAGCGAACGAGTGAGTTTATAGGAATTTTTCGCAACGAGTGCATAATAAAAATCGTACAAGCGAATCAACCATGAAGTAATTTGTTTATTATATGAGTTACTATATATTAGAGTGAAATTTAAGTGCTGAACGATAGACACAATTCAAACCAAACATTTCAAACATATATAATATGCATCAAAAAGTACAACAATAGCTACAACAAATGAATTATTTCGCTTTAAAATTCTTGTATTATTATTCTCCTGTTGTTCAATGAATTCGCTTACGGATGGTGTCTCTGCGAAGCCATTTCAAATCAAAAGTCGAACGGACATCTAAAAAAACTGATTGTTGTTTTCTTGTACGCCAGTGGCGCGGCCGCCGCGGCGGGAAAAGTAAATACGAAATTTTTCACTAGTGACAAATTCCGTACGTCCAATGAGAAGGCTAATACGACGTTCTTCACTAGTGGCGAATGTCGTATGTCCAATGAGATGCTCAGAAATTTTAGGCATATGGTTTTTATTCGACAACTTTATCGCGTATAAAATTCAATACTCATGTAATAAATCCTATTTTTTTTTACGTACTGTTGCCGAGTATTGCTTGTCTTAAAATTAAAGCACACAAGCTATGTTTAAACTTTCCATTTTAAATTCTCTACCGCTAGTCTAGTCGAACTATGAAACAATGGCGGATGGCATGCAGGATTATTTTGCTTTCAAATATCGCCCATGTGTATAGGTACAAATGAGTTACGTGGTTCCTTATTTTATTTAGTTTTCTTCATGCTGTGTGCAGTTGGTCTGTTCTCAGGTCTTTATCATCAACAAATCAAAAAGAATGTCCTGAAAAGCAGCGAAATAGACGAAGGCTTCAACAGTGAGGACAATGCTTCACTCAAGTTTTCGTTTTGGATTCTGGTCGGTGCTTGCTTTCTGCCATTGATAAACATGTTGCTCACTTTCTTAAACAGCGCCAGAGCCAAGAGTTACTTTAATAAAACTACCACAATACCCACCAGCAATGTGGATGGCATGATGCTGTACTGATTCAAATAAAAAACGTTCTCGTAAAGAATATGAGAATTCAAGTTTATGGAACAATGCCTTTTCACATTCGAAAGGAAAATTACTTTTGGCATTTAAACACCAGTATACATTTCACTGTAAAGAACCTAGCTACACAGTATTGACTAGTATTTTAAACAGTGTAGTTACAATCAATAGTTTAGAGTTACTGGCTTTAATAATTGATGGACGATTAAGTATATAAGGCCCGGCAACGGGGCACGGGAGATTTTTATGACCGAATATAGAAGGCTTATTTTAGGAAAATTCCGCAGGCCTATCGTGTAACACAAACATTTTATAGCCATATTTATATTTGAATAAATTCAGTTAAAATAATGTTATTCTGGTGAACCATGAACCTAAGAAATTAAATTATATTATGTTCTTGAATTCCTAGAATTACATAATTATATTAGGCAATTCTCGAAAACGATTTTTCGCGAACTGATACCGGTATCACGTTTAATTCGTTACTTCTGAGAGTAAACTTCAGTATGTTTTAACATTCCAAGAATCGCCTTAATAACCCTTCTGTTGTAAAATTATATCATTACAAATACAGTCTATCATAGACCGTATTTCTATGTTCTTTTTGGCCATGATTTTACTTACAAACAACGGAACTTCGAAACGAAACAACGTAATAACAAAGTGCGGAAATAAAGTTAATTTAAAATGTATTTCATAATGTCACAATGGTGATATATAGTTCCACTTTCGTTTGGGCATCAAATAATTTTTACCAGTCTATCAATAAAGGCCCCCCCCCCAAAAAAAAAAAAATAAACATGAACAACCTTCACAGCATTTAGATTATAAGATAACCATGTACATTTATTAAATGAGCTATACCCTTGGATTCTTGTCAGCAATCTATTCACGATAGACGGATAATTTAGTTTTCATTTCTTGGACTAACAATCAGTTTTGTTTTGCTGTTTTGTTATTTCCTTGTTAGTAATCTCCTTTCATTCTCCATATACGGAACCATTCATTGGGAAAACTGTGTTGAAGAAGAAATTGTTGTATTTGTAATTGTACTTACAAAACATTTGAACTTGAAGCTAGAATATCAATTTCTTGGAAGGCCAGAAATATTCGTACATTATAAATGCCAGTCAATCAAACACATGAGACCAGCCACAACGCTTAATTAAATCCTGTTGGCGACAGACAGTCATGCAGAAAACTGGAATTGTGACCAGTGGTGTACAGTCTACCTTCTAAAGGCAAATAAAGCAAGTAAGTGCTACACATGATCTAAAAAATAAAACATAAATCATACACAGATACAGAAACTTTAGCACGGAAATGTTTTCCTCATATTGACTATATCATGTATTAAGTCGGAGCATGCACTCATCATACCTTTATTTTGTTAAACGAGAGCTTGAAAGAGTGTCCCCTGTAACAGTAGCCTGCGAACAGGCTCTCAAGCTGAATTGAGAGCCTGCATCGATGGCTAATGAATTTGAATATCTGCCCCGTAACGTTCGTTTTTCCAAATATGGAATGTCTATCCTTATATGGTGTTGTTTACAACTTTCGTACAAACTAAATTTAGACCATGCAAACTAAATTTAGACCGTACAGTTTACACTGTTTTTCGAAATATAAGATATTGAAGCAAAAGTTTAAATGTTTTAAATACTGTTTTCTCAAAACAGAACATTTCGTGCTTTGAGATAAGATGGCCAAGACCAATTTGATCAGTTAATGTGTTTTTTATGCATAGTGCTTCAGCAGTTGACATATATAGAGCTCAGCGGAAACATATAAATTATAGCATCTGACCAATGAGAATTTCGCGTCACGATTTGAGACGCAGATATTCAAATTCATTAGTCATCGATGCAGGCTCTCAATTCAGCTTGAGAGCCTGTTCGCAGGCTACTGTAACAGCAATGTGTGACTTCCAACTCTCCGATTCTCATTCTCGTTTGACCAGGGCTTAATTAAGTGAGTAGTTGCCAGTTGCACAGTGAAGGAGGGTGGGGTGAATAGGGGTATACAAATTCGCCGTCCGACCCATGGTCTTGCCTAAATTTGGATCCGCTAAAAGCTCTACTTCGGTTACAATCCAGTATTCGAACTAAATTGCAAGCAAAATCCATAATCTGAGCTAAAATATTAGATAAATTTGCAATCCGCTGTTTTAAAAAGATCCGCAAATCCGTGTAAAATATTCGCCAGATCGGCAAAATCCGATCGAACAATTTTTCGGCGGAATCCGCCGTCCGAAAACCTATCCCCCCCCCCCCCAAATTGAGTAGTAAAGGTGAAAAAGGCATGCTTAACTTGTTTAACCAGAGGCTTAGTCTATAATGACTTACATTGATTGATTCAATTGATGATTCCCCTTATTACGTTTTCGTAGCGCTTTGCATTGTGGTTATAGTGGTATCACTGATAAAGATAGTGGCCTCGCATGAAAATATTGAATGTTTTCCCGAATATGACCCTAGCTTTTTTTAAATGTTCTTGTATACGGGTCAGGACAAAAAATAAGCCATCTTGAATATCAGTGATACCACTATAACCACAATGCACCATTTTCTAACTATACCGTGCACACTACCATGAAAATTCCAGGGATGAGGTTGAAAGTTGACAGGGTGGGTTAGGCACATAGGTCTGGAGGCAGATCATTAATGAGGTATGAACTAATAGCGGCTGCTCAAGCGCCATTTGTAAGCTCAAAGTCTACCTCGGTCTGCTTCACGTCAGTCCGGTTCTGTCTATCTATTCATAATGTAACCAGTCACTGAAAAGCCCTGATAGGGAACGTGCTGTGAAATATCTGTAATCTGTAATCAATATATTAGAAGTTTGACTAAGTATTAGCCTAATGCAGGTAAATGTTTTCGCCAAAAACAATAGTGTTTATACTATCATGGCTACTAATTTCCTATTTCATGCCTGAAATTACCTGGTTTTGCAGGCTCATGCATGCAGTAGAGAGTTTTGTTAATTGCCGTTTTACTTTTTAGCATCTACAAGATATACCATTCAAAGACGAATTTTACCAAAAATTTACTGAATCATAAAAATTTCTAAAAACGTTCTAAAAACTGACATCATTTGTACAAATGAGTTACGTGGTTCCTTATTTGATTTAGTAATTTTAGTTTTCTTTATGGTGTGTGCATGCAGTACTGGCTTAATTAATGGACGATTAAGTATAAAGCCCAAGGGCAAGGGAGATATTTGTGACGGAATATCAGTGCCGTAGCTAGCATTTATAGTTGGGGGGGTGTAGGCCAAAAATTTCCGAATGACGAAGAAAATTTCCGAACTTTCGAAAATTCTTGGCGACCTCCCACGGACATACCAAAAGTTAGATATTAGCTAAAAATTGCCTGAATCTCATGATTTTCGTACAAAAACCATATACTATAATTGCCGTAATTTTCCGAATGGCCATCCCATTTTCCGAATATGTCAAAAGTTGGGGGGGTTAACCACCCCCCCAATACCCCCCTCGCTACGGCCCTGCGGAATATATAAGGCTTATGTAGGAGAATGCTGCCAGCTTATCGTGTAACACAAGCATTTTATAGCCATAGTTATATTTGGATAAATATCAATAAATTCGGTTAAAATATTGTTATTCTTTGAGAACCATGAACCTAAGAAATTAAATTACGTCATGTTCTTGAATTTCTAGAATTACATAGCCTATATTAGGCAGTTCTCGAAAAAGATCTTCCGCGAAATATAACGTTTAATTCGTTATTTCTGAGAATAAATAAACTTCCGTACGTTTTAACATTCCAAGAATCAACTTATTAAGTCTTAACTCTGACATGTTTAATTAATAATTATTCCATGAACTACACTGGATTCCTCAGCGTTTTACCGCTTAACCTTGACTGAAATTACTGTGAAAATTTACAGTGTAGATTCTCTGACCTAGCCTCCTCCGCAGGCCTCTCTATGTGTTTTAGCCTGCGAATGGGTTTTGAAAAAAAATTTTCTGGGACTTTTTCTCACCACCCGATTCCTCAGTGAGATGCCTGCGGAGGAGGCTATCTCTGACCTATGTCGCTTCTGTTGTAAAATTATATCATTACGCTATGTCCTTTTTGGCCGTGATTTTATTCCAAACAACGGAACTACGAAAAAAACTACGAAACGAAACAACGAAACAAAGTGCGGAAATAAAGTTAATTTAAAATGTATTTCATAATGTCACAATGGTCAATGGTGATATAATATAGTCCCGCTTTCGTTTGGGCATCAAATAATTCTTAACCAGAGGGTGGGAAGGGGGGTTGGGGTATGGGTCACGTTTCACAACGAAAACTAAAGAAAAAGGCCGTTTCACAATTCAGTGAATTCATGTGTCTTAAAAAAGCAATAGAGAGTCTAAGCTTCGTGTTATACGGCAAACGGCAAACGCCAGGCAAAGAAAGATTTTACGGTATCAGGCAATAAAGAGTAAATAAACTTGCTGTTTTAAAACTGCAATGCATGACTATACTTTCGACACATGAAAGGAAATGTGAAACGAAAACGTTTAACGAAAATTTTGCGAAGAAAGTTCGAACCTGCCGAAGAAAAAATTTGTCTTGATACTTGACAGTATTAATCAAAATATTTTGAATGAGATTGAAATGATAGCTGATATCGAACGTGCACTAATATTAATAGTATACTTCAGGTTCATCAGATGAACAAAGTCTCACCAAAAATCTCTTTATGCATGAGCTTGGATGATGAAGTGAATCTTTTTGTAATTAGAATTCTATAGAATGTTTCCGCACATTGCACGAAATTCCCTTTTAGAGAGCCTAGATTACAAAATGTTCTGTGGGTGTATGCCCCTGGAACTCCTCGGACGTTTGTCACTCCTAAGCTGCCTTTCATTTGCCAATACGAAAATATTTCTTTCCTGCAAGCATGTGATTATGAAACTATGCTGTCATAGATAGTTGTAACTGTAGGTGCTGTTTAATAAGGCCGCCCATAAGGGTGGAGGGGGCAATTTTTCCTGGGGCATCAATTAAAGGGGGTCCCAAATAAAGAATTACCGTAAAATATACATAGATATAACTGACAACAGAATTCCAGAATGCAGGATTTGGCCATTTCTGGGACCTCAGTACCCAAATTCGGCCCTGAGTACCCAAATTCCCTGGGCGACTCTGGGCGCTGTGCATGTATAGTGTGCTGGTATGTTGGTTTTGGCATTTTTGAATATCAATTGTAGCCTGTTTTGCGGTTACACATTATTATAAAGGTGTGTTCAGAAATTTTCAGGGCGTGCTTCCCCTCGACTAAAATTTGTGCGGCTAAACTTTGTGCAAAAATGTGCAGTGATAAAAAATTCTTAAAATTAGGTATGCCTGAAACATTTGAACTTGAAGAATATCAATTTCCTGGAAAGCCGGAAACATTCGCACATTATAAATGCCAGCCGATCACATGAGACCAGCCACAACGCTTAAATCCTGTTGGCGACAGACACTTCTCAGTTCTCACTCTCAGTCCTGCAGAAAACCTTGTGACCAGTGGTACAGTCTACTTTCCAAAGGCAAATAAAGCAAGTAAGTGTTACATATGATACATAACATTAAACATAAATCACAGACATCGTACACAGATACAAACACTTATAGCACGGAAACGTTTTCCTCACATAAATCATAATAAATAGTGGCATGCATGGCATTGGCATGCATAGGCTAGCATGGGCGTTCTCAATTAGTCCGGTTTCATTTGTTCGGCAGAACTCAGAAGCTGATCACGTTATAACGTTCAACGGCCTTCAACTAAATATGTTGACTTGTGCAAAACTGTTGCACTGAAGAAATAGGCCGTGGGCCAAAATTATTTCGCTTCGTGGAACCCAACCTGGTGGCAATCCCCTGGGGAATAGATTTTCTGTGGTTCAATGCATAGAACCATAGATGCTCGATTACCACAAAAAAGTTCCCAAGCAAAAAACTTGCCAAACACCGAGAAAATGGGTGATCAATGATTATCCACTATTAAATTGTATATTACAGCAAGAAAATGTGAAATTTTGTATTCAATTACAATGAAAAATGATTGCAAAAATCCGCATATAAAACTCTTAAACAGTTTTTTGATCCTTCAAATAGTCTTTGAGTTATTCAGTCTTTGTTATATCAAATAGTCTTTGAGTTATTGCTGTTTTAAATGTGAAAATTGGACCAAAATGTCGCAATAAGGACTGGGTACTAGGTCAAAAACGCGTTTTTGACAAAGTATAACTAGAAAACAACTTGAGATATAAAAAAACTGTTTAAATGTCTTATATGTAGATTTTTGTAAGCTTTCTGATGATGCAAGTCATTTTCGCTGTAATTGAATACAAAATTTCGCATTTTCTTGCTGTAATACAATTTAATAGAGGATAATCACTGATCACCCATTTTCTTGGTGTTTGGCAAGTTTTTTGCTTGGGAACTTTTTTTGGTAATTGTGCATCTATGGTACTATGAATTTAATCACCGAAAATCTGTTCCCCTGGGGCCGGGGTTGCCATGAAATTTCTTTTCTAAACACTTTTTCGCACAACGGCCCACGGTCTATAAAGCCGAATAACCTGTGACTTAGTTGAAACAAATTTTCGAGGCATGAGTGTATATATAGTGGCAGTATCTCAGTTCACTGACACTGACTCGCTCCGTCCGATCAGTCTCGGGTTTGATTTACTCATAAGCAGCCGGAGTGAAAGTAAGTCAGCTTGCTCAACTGATTAAAAACAGACATTTTCACGAGACGATATTGGTGAGTTTAGTGAAGTATGCGGAAGAAAACGACATGAGACAGCCCCGGCGTAGTCTCATTGGAAGCATGGTCGGAAAGAAGATCCTTTATCGACTTTTTGAAAACATTTGAACTTCAATTAAGAATAAATGTACGACACTCGACAGTGCTTGACATGATACTCCTTAACTGGAACAAATTTTCGAGGCATGCGGTGCGAGGGTGTCGGCCTAGCTTCGCAGTTTCTCGGCCGGCGGTATATATAACCTAAAAAATAGCTTCATATGATGCGAATATTATCGACGAAGAATGAAAAATATATTATTATAATAAAGTAACTTGTGAGTTGTGGCCGAAAACGAGCGTTTTAAATCGCTATAGGCGGCAATCGTAAAATTCCGTCTCTATTGGCATTGCCGTCTCCATCGTTGCATCAATATATACATGCTATATGCCGCTGTTTGATGACCTAACTTATATATGCGAGCCCTCCATCACTCCATGAGAGGAAACTAAAAGCGCTACAGACTTGCCGATTTTTTTTTAATAATGTGTAATTTATCAGAGAAGAATGAAAAACATTATTTCAAGAATTTTTCACAGGGATGGAGCGTTCTTATAGAATTTTTCAATGGGATGGAGCGTTCTTGTCGACCGATTTGTGGGCAGTGTTAATATGTGGCGGTTCGACGACTCATCTTGTGCAAGTCGTTCCAACAAAGTTTACATCGCTATAAACAAAAAAATAACTTCATATGATGCGAATATTATCGACAAAGAATGAAAAACATATTATGACGATAATCGTAACGTACTTGTAGCAGAGAACGAGCGTTTTAAATCGCCATGCGCGGCAAGCGTGTTTGCCGTCTCCATCAATATGTCGCTGTTCGATGACCAATAACTAAGTTATGCCTCCAGATCACAGAATAGAGATCTTTATTCTGTGCTCCAGAGTCCAGATGAAACGTACTAAAAGCGCTACACGGACTAGCCGATTTTAAAATGTGATCAATGTGTAATTTATCAAAGAAGAATGAAAAACATTAATCATTATCTCAAGGTTGTGTTAATTTTTCGCTGGGATAGAGTGTTTTCATGGACTGACTTGTGGACAGTGTCAATATATAGTGGCGGTTCGCGACGACTTATCTTGTTCAAGTTGTTCAGACCATAGGCATAGCTTATCGAAGGGAAGATGGCTAAGAAACTCATTAGAATAAAAATATATTCATTATCTATGTTAGCTAATCAAGTATAAAGTCAACGTTTATTCATAAATCTGGTTCTTCAGTACTTCACCGTCACGTGCGTATTGTATTTTTGCCCAACTAACCAATAGCAGTGTTCTAGGACAGTTACCTATTCGTGACTCGAACAATGGGGTAAATTGGAAATTGGTATTGGTGGATTTGACAAAAATACAATATATACACACGTGACGGTGAAGGACCATATTTATGAATGAACGTGGACTAACATAGATAATGAGTTATATTGTTATTCTGAGTTTCACAGCATCTTCCCTTCGATAGGCTATGTTCAGACAACCGGTATAAGCTTTAAAAATAGCTTCATACAGTTGTCCCAGAGAGGGCAGCAGTAATCATTTAGAGCTCTCAGCCTGCAACCATCTGAAGAATAAATTCGCTTTGCGCGAAAAAAATCGCTAGTGGAAAACCGGCTTAATTAACTGTACATGCAAGATGCATGTATAAAAAAAAACTGAACAGATTTGAAATTGTTCTCAATTTCGCAAAACAGCTATATAGTATCCAGTTTTTGATGTATATAGCTTCTTTGGGTACTTATAATGTAGAATAATGAAAAAAATTTCTCGAACTCAAATTTTGTGAAACAGGAGGCTGTGTCGTTTCTAACAAACTAAAAATGGCTTGCGCATGAAATTTAAAAGCTTTAATTTGAGTTAATAGATGGAAAATTTGTTGGGTTTGTAATTACTGTACAAAATTTCAAACAATTTGCTTTGGTTTAAACCCTTTAACTAAGTTTTCTTAACGTCCAGTTCGTCTTTGTCCTTTTGAGTACAAACCTTTATTTAGCTTGCATGTTTATATGGACACGTATATTTGTATGAGTTATAATTGTATATACGTGTGATTTATACGATTTCATCTTTCATTTTCAGACAAGATGTCAGATATCCAAAGGAAAACCGGGGGAAATGGCGTTCTCGACTTAAAAGAGAATTTGAAAGAAATGCCAACAAACATGCATTTATTTTCCTTGTCAATGCGAGCCCTTTACACCGACAAAGCTGTTGGCACCTCTACCGATGCTGCCTGTAGATTTAGAAAGCTTCGAGATGACACAAGAAATGATGCTATGGTATACTTGAAATACATCCTTCCCATAACCACCAAGTTTGTGATGTCCATTAAAGAATACTTCGCGAATTACGACGCTCTGTCGTATGAGGAATGGTGTGAAATGTTGCCAGATATTCTCGAAGAAACAACAACGTACAAAGAACTGGCGCAAACGGTGAAAGGAATGTACGAGGAGATGATGGTTCCTTTAAAGAGACGTCAGGACGAGGCGAAAATCATCATGACAGAATTCAAAGATCTACAACGTAAATATGAAAAGGAGAAAAAGGAATTGGAAGCCACGGCAAAAGCAAAAATGGGCTGGGCAATTGGTCTTTTATGGATTCCTGGCGTAAATCTGATTGCGAGTCCTTTGTTGGCATCTTCTGCGGACGACGATATGGCAAAAGCAGTTGCCAAGCTAGCCGAGTCAGAAATCCAAAAAGCTGCAGTTCTCGTTGTTTCAGAAACCCTACTCCCAGCTCTGACCAATTTCATCGAGGGTCTGACAAAAGCAGCAGGGTTCTTTCAAGTGATGGAAACGGAATTGCAATCGTTTCAAGAAAACTCAGCAATTGAATCTCCCAAAAAGCTTCATTACATGCGAATCAGAAACGAAGCCAAAGAATTGAAATCTCTGTGCCAAGCGTTCTACGCAGTTCTGCCAGCTGTTCGCACCGACTTTGAGGCAATTCCAGATGAAGGCACAGACCAAAACTACGTTGACAATTGGTTGGAGAGACAACTGGCCAAGACTGAAAAAAAAAGAAGCATGGCTCAAAAGTTTTTATTAAGTATTTTCACAGGAAGCAAAGGAAAAGCTATAAAATAACTTTTCCCAGATTGAACATTTAGTTGCATGACAAAGTTGAAACAGTAAACATTTATAAGACATTATGACTGTAGAGTTTAAGGCTTTAGTTTGTTGTATGGGGTAGTTGATTTGTTAACGAATAAATTTTTTTTTTTCATCATTGTATTTTCAGTTGTTCATATAGATTCTAAGTTATGCACATACCAGAACGGCTTTCTGAAGAGCAGATGCTGGCGGTCAACTTCATGTTGATAGGAGTAATAGAAAGTTCAGAAAACCTGAAAACATCTTGTCGGCAAAGGGGGGGGGGGGGTGTTGGGG